TACTGGTAACCTGTACAACTAAGGTAGTATTAGTGCTACATTTAGTTTTACCTCAGCATTACTTTGCTTATTACTATTTCAGTTATAATAGCTGAAATAAAAATAAGAACCAAGTTAAATCTGTACAATCAAAATTTACAGATGTAAACCCTCATAGTGACTTTTCAGAGGGTGCTAGAGTACTCCTTCAGATTCTTTTTTTTTTTTTCACTCAGTCACCATTCACTTTATATTTCATTATTTATTGAATCAAGCAAAACAGAACTTCCTGTGAAGCATCCATGTGTTGTAGCAGCTCCATCTTTGTTTACCCTGAAAAGAGAATTAAACATGACTCCTGCTGGGAACGAAACCTAAGTGCAGCATTAGGTCAGCCAAGGATTAGACATTGAATATCCCAGAAGTACAACTGCTTCATCTACAAACATGCAGAGTTGGCCACCCAGCTTCTGGTGGTTACCCCTTCCAGTATAATCACAGAGTGAGTACAGTACAGTAAGTGGTAAAGTGCATGCTTGCCACTTTATGCATTAGGGTTTACTAAAGTCCTCAAGCTCTGTCTCTGAAGTTCATAAATGTCAGTGGATGAAATCTTGAGCCTAATGTGAGTGTTGAGTCATAGCTCAATGCAAACAGTGCTGGTAAATTCCACTGCACCACGGGTGGGGGGGGGGGGGACCAGGAAGTGAAATTCAAAATACCTTCTGTTTTCTCTGCTGGAATGTTAATGGCTGCTCTGACCTGAGATACACTGGTGGGATTTTCGACTGGTTAGTTATTATTATTAATAATAATAATAATAATGATAATAATAACAATAATAATTAGTTAGTTTGATTGTTCTTTTGGTGCTTTATCCATCAGTATTGTTGTTTGTGACTAAAAGGTCACTAGTTAACCCAACGACATCAAGGTAAATAAAAAAAAATAAGTTAGGAGTATTGCTGGTTAAATCGTTGATTCATATGATTAAGTGCAGAAAAAAAATATGAAAATGTTGTAGGAACATCAGAATCAGTCATACATGCTAAGTATGAACATGTACAAGAATTACTTGATATTTCTGGTGTAAAACAGTTAAAAAAAGAAAAGAAAAAGTAAAATATGAAGGAAGTGAGCAGGAGTGTTCTTACCGCGAAGACATTTGAATAAATGCCATTAACAATATCAATATAAAGAATATTTTCCATAATATTTTATGTGTGAAATTGCTGTTCATTTGACATCTTTGTTATTTTAAAGAATATCTCAAACTGCTTTATGCATCAGTGTGACTGTGATCATATAAATTGTCTTAAATTAAATGTGTTCCAATTTAGAGAAGTGAACGCCTGGCTCAAGTCCAATCACACTTACAATGATTCAACACGAGCATCTGAAGCCAACTTTGATACTTGACTGTATTTAATAAGTGGAGCAGAAAAACAGCATTTTTTCTGGCTTCATTAGTAGTTAATATTTCTGCAGCTCAAGCACAACATTTGATGGCATGGAGGGCCAACATATCAACATATACATATCGTTTGTTCATTTGTTCCCAGTAGTTGTAGCGAGGTGCACATCTCTTATTGATGTATCAGAAACCTCCTGTGTGGTTCATCTGAAACACTCTTGCCTGGTCTTGCACGTCGCTGATGACAGGGGGAGGGTTTAAAGAAACGTCTAATTGTTGTGGGAGGGTTATTGGAATGTGGGGCGGGCGGGGGGATGATTGTTTTGTCGTATCTGAAGGATGTGCGGTGTTGCCAAGAGGGTCATGATGTTCCTTGACCTGTGAAGAAGGATATAAAATAATAGGGCTGTAGAAACTTTACTCCCTTGAGTTCAGCTATTGTTAAAAAAAACAATTTAATGGAGGTGTTTTTATTATTGCAGCTGTTTAAGTTTTTGGCAGTTGTTTGGGATCTTACAGCAGTTCATGGACAAAACATGATGAATCTTCTGCACTGTGCTAGGTTTAACTTAGTTTCAGGTGCCTTTTTTTCTATATCTCTCTAATTTAATAAGTATCTCTATAGTTACTGCTGCCGTTTTTAGCTGCTATTTTAAAGGAAAACAACATACTGTTTTCGCTGGTTATGACCCTGATGGTCCAGGTCAAAATGACCGACTGGAAGCTGTGGGAAGTTTCCTTCCATATACACATCCACATGAAGTCCTCAAATCACTATTTTAGGAAGGATTAAAAGAGAAATATTTTATCCTGTCTCCCTCCGTTCAGAAGCACTGTTTTCTTTTTGTTGAATTCCCTGAAATGTCTTCGAGTGACGAATAAAGAAAGACCCAGATAACGATGACCAAGGCCAAATAGTTTCACTGGAATGTTCTGAAAGTCAGAACTCTTAAGGGCTAATTTCTCTTGCTAAAGGTTAACATCCCTGCTGTATGCTATGCTTTTTGAAGAGTGCTGTAGTGTCAAACATCATGGGAAAGTGTTTCAAAGGTTGGTGAGTATTAGTCACTGTTGGATCCAAATATATCTCTCCAAGTTTGTATGGACTGGCCTTTAAATTAAGATGAGACATCTATATTATAGATTAAATAACTCCTAATAATTTTGTGATCCTCTGGCTTTTCTCCCAGTGCTGCCACCTAGAACCTAACAAGGTTCCCATTTCTGGTTTTGAACCGGGTTTTAACTCTAATAGCTACGTCGTATCACTCCACTAAGCCCCTCCCACCAAATGACAAACCTAACGTACACAACGCCAACCGTTGTCCCTGCAAACTGTGAGTTCCAGCTAGTTATGCCCGACCCAGAGGCGAGAAACACTTGACAGCTGATCAATAGACATCTGAACAAAGTTAAAAAGTAGCAGCTGGTGTGTACAGCCATGGCGCTCTCAAGTGAGTGACTTGATCACACGATTCGTTAGATGCTCGAAGCTTATCCTGATTGGTTGTTTGATTCAGACCGGATGAGATTTTGGAAATTAAATATGCTGTAGATTTCCTTCCTGATATTAGCATTTAGCACCACTGGACCTACATACAGACTTACACAGCTTCTAGCATGGCTGAAGCCATAGCTAATCATTTATTTAAAGTTATGGAAAAGACACCATGGTACCTATGTCCTAAAACGTTAAAACTCCCCCGCATTACCCGATTGGTCGGTGTAAATTGACATTTTCTCATGGTGATTACATAGCCATGGGAACCGATGCCCCCTGTGGTTTTGTAATGTAGAACACAGGTAGAATCAGAAAACGGAGTAGTTTGGTTGCAAAATCTAAAGTGAAATGTCAGAGGATTGAAGATTTTCAGCCATGAAGATGAAAAGAAACAGAAATGTTTGGCATGCCCTGTGTCAGTTTATGATATGTGCTTGTGTTTCTGACATTGGCTTAGCTCACACAGCGACTTCCTAATCCCATTGTGTGTGTTGTCATCTGTGTTTCCTGCCCAGACTGTGAATCACAACAACAGGTGGACTTTAATCACACACTGAACAACAGACAGTCATCATACGTAGCATTTGTTTAAGGTGGTGTCTGTGTTTTCAGGTGTGCTCTGCTGATGTGTGTCTCTGTATGATCAAGGTTTTATGCACTGGTCAGCCATGATGTCATACTGCTATTCATACAGGCCTTTGTTTATTAAAAGATGGATTCTTCTCTGTGCTGTACATAACGTGAAAAGAAAGGTATGAAAGCGACGTATCTCCATTTGTGTGACGCTTCATAAAACATTGATTCAAACTCAAGAAACGTGGCTACAAAGTTATTGTGTATTCACAGGCGGGGTGTGTTGCTCGCAGTAACCTTACCCTGCGAGTGCACAGGTGATACCACGCTGAATATAGCCCCCTTATGGCCAGCTGGCCCTGCTATTTAAAACAGAGCGGAGCATTTGGGGGCGGGGGGTGCAGCCGGAGTTGACGTTTACCATCAGCATTCTGTGGGAGCCCGAGACAGTTTGGTGGAGTTTTTCAGACTAGATAGGGATTAATCAGCTTTAATTTTACATTCATTATATATTTATTTTAAATCAAGGACGTTTCAAGGATTCAAGGTAGTTATTTGTCATTCTAGATTGATTTTTGTTTTTTGCTCCTATAGCATACAACAATTATAAAACTATATGTATCAAAATGATTACTACTCCAACAAATGAAACTGTTCCCCTGATAAAATAAATCATTCCCATCTCAATGCAGAGGTAAAATCCCTTCATAAATAGTCAATACATATATTGATAGAAACATGTTTACTTGAGATCCTATCTGGATGAAATGCCTTTCTTCAAGGGCAGATTGTTAAAAAAAACAACTCTGAACTGGAAAGCAGCAGTGATTGGGTATCAATCAATCGCTCTAAAAGTCACACTGTGTGCATGTGTGATTCATCCAGGTATCAAATTCACTCAAGTATCTCTGACAAAGGTCGATTATGTTGGATGAGGTCATCGCTGGAAACCGTTACCGCCACTCGTCCAATAAAAAAAATGCTCATGAAAGCTCTGAGTCACTGTGTTGGAGCGAGTCTGTGTAGTTTAGAAAGTGCTCGAGAACAGATTTGTCTCATTGGTGGTGCTGTGAGTTTGTTCTGTTTGAGTGTTTGACGTGGAGGAGGTTTGCATGTGGCAGACCCCCCATCAGCCTGGTACAGTGAATGAACGGCAACAGCTGAGCAGGAGAACTTTATCGGCACCACTGCCTGTTTGTGTGTGTGTGTGTGTGTGTGTGTGTGTGTGTGAGGGAGAGAGAGAGAGAGAGATTCAGGAGGAGCTGCAACCAGAGCAGTCTCTCTGGACACTCTTCTCTGGCGTGAACACTGCTGTCCTCTCTCCGACTCTCTTCACCACTGGCCTCTTTTCCAGATTCCTTTCACCTCGGCTTTCTCGTTCTTTCTCGTCTCTACCTCTCGCTGCTGTGGATTTCTCTCCTCGGGCAGCAGCTCCGTCGTGACTCGCCCGCTGCCACTGCAAGGGAAGGAGAGAGCAGGAGGAAGAAGAGAAGGAGAGAGACAGACCAAATCGATTACTCTGATACAGAAGAGAGAAAAGCACCGGGAGAGAAGAGGCGAGGCAGTAGCAGCATTTCTCTTCACACGCTTTTGTTTTTGGAAGAATTTCTTTGACTTGTACAGGAGTCTCCTGAAGCATTTGAACCACGTCCTTCCTTTGGAGAGAGAGGACAGTAATTGAGGGGACAGCTTGCGCAGTATTGACACGTCGAGGACTCTTCTTTCTTCTCTTCAGCCAAAAACCGCAAAACATTTTGGACTCGGGAGGAGGAGGGCTTTTGAATAAAGAGACCAATGTTTATCAGATAATTCAACTACATTCTAAATGATAATGCTGGACACCAACCATTGCCTGTCCTTTGAACCCTCCCCCCCTGGCTCTCCTCCAATGGGAGATGACATAGAGAAGGCAGGACTGGCGATGGATCATGACAGACATGTCTATCACAGCTTGAAAGAAGGTGGGCGATCTGGTTCTGCACTGTCAGATGAGACACATGGTACCTGATACGACTTCTGTTTATGTCCCTTTGGGTTGATATCGGCACTTTTATGGACTAACATGAATTGTGAATGGGGCTTTGCTTGAGATAAGCGATTTGGTGAAGGCTTTCATGTAGGAAAGGAAGTAGAAGTGGTTATATGTTCTCTCTGATAAACTTCTTCAATAGACCAGAGATTACCACTATGTTAAATTAAGGAACTGTGAGCAACTGTCGCAGAAAAACCTGAGCCTGAGATGTGAGTCACGTCACATTTTAAAGGTGCATTGTGTAGTTCTTTTCAAACTAACAAAATGATGTTTACAATAAGGATAGGTCACGAAAACGTCTGAAAACAAAGAAAAAAAACTTGTTGCACGCATTGTTTAAATTGAAAATGAACAGCAATATTTTGAAAAAAAAACGTATTTTAATTGCTAGCAGTCTTCTTCTCCCCTGTGTTTGCTGCCATGTCGCTGAATTCTCCCCTCATTACCGCCATCTGTTGACAAGCAGCTGATAGCCAGCTGTCACATGTTGTCAAAAATGCAACAACAAAAAAAGCCCAACACTGAAATCATGCAAATAATAAGTTTCAGTTTTTTTATATTCAACACTTAATGCTTTATAAACCCTGTCCAGATATTACAACTAACCAGTGCAGCCAGAAAACAGAAACACTGTAGTACATTTAGTTTGTGTAGGCTTTCTACTCCAGCACATTAAAACTGTAATCAGACTTTTGAATAAAAGGGAGAGAAAAGTGGATTCATTTTGGATGTTCTACATTCAGTTCAACATTGAACCACATTGAAATAAGCTTCAGTTTGTTTATATCAAACATTATGAGAAAGACTCAAGAGGCATGAGTGACTTAAAAAGAAACAGAAGATTACTGAAAGGTGGAGGAAATGGAGAGGAAAGAGAAAAAAACATCGACATTAGTAAAATGAAATGTTAAACCGTTACCCTGCAGCTGTCAGCTAAAAGTTATTCAGAGTCTGCATTTTGCTAACTGCTAACCTTTGCTGGAGTGGGAAGAAGGCATCACATGTAGAGACAGTGTGTGTGTGACAGGCGCTGCATAAAGCCATGAAAGCTCTGGGAGTATTACTCTCCTTCCTTGAACTTTTAAGTTCATTAGTATTCACTGCAGCCCTTCATGCTGTCATTTGCTTCCCGGCATGCTGCAGCATGCCCGAGCAGTGCGACGGATTTCAAGGTGTAAATAGCCTTCACCTTGCGTTTATTGCAGCCCTCAAGCCGCCGTCCATTCTTACCGATGTGAGAAACATGTAGCTGTGCTCGGGGCTCGCCATGCAATCAAAAGTGTGCTACTCTGCAAAGATGAGCTCATACGGGAGAACATCAGCAGGATTATCAAATAGAACATTTCCAATGACGATGCCAAAGAGAACCATCCTCAGGGTCTGGTGTTTGTTATGCGGGTCTGTGACAGTGTGCTCATGCCTCTGTGTGGGCATGGCGCTGCTATTATGGTCAGAGTGTTTCGGCTTGGCTTTGCCAAGGCTGGGGGTCTTTGGGGGACAGTGACAAACTCAGACATGTTTAATCAGATCTGGTGACACATGAGCACAGCAGGATTAGCCTAGTTGGCCAGCAGGAACTTGGCCCAGTGTGTCGCTGACCTCCTCCTTCTCCCCCGCCGACGACTCTTTAACCTTAAACCTAATCCTGGGATTCCTCATTCCCCAACACTTTTGCATCGTGGAGGATGTTGTGCAGGAGGGGAAAGTCAGTGTATACACACTAAGAACAGAAACTTGAAAGTCTCATGTTTAAGTCTGGCAACTGCAGATTTGTTTTTCTAGTCTGATTATAATTATTATTATTGTAACGATTATCAGACAACTCCTCGCTCTCTAGTAGCCTGTTTGTTGTTTCAATGCAAGTGTTTAAAAACTGAGCCTGTTTTAGATCATCAGTAAACAGAGTCATTGTTCAAAGAAGTTAGAAATCAATTTAATTCAATTTTCAATTCAATTTTATTTGTATAGCGTCAACTCATAACAAGTGTTATCTCAAGACACTTTACAAAAAGCAGGTAAAATACCTTACTCTTTGTCTGTTAACATTACAAAAGAGCAGGTAAAAAGACCTTACTCATTGTTATGTTACAAAAAGCAGGTAAAAGACCTTACTTATTGCTATGTTACAAAGATCCGGCCTATCCATCATGAGCACTTTAGCAAAGCAGCAAAAGTTACAGTGGTAAGAAAAAACTGCCTTATTAAAAGGCAGAAATCCTCGGCCGGAACCCCGGCTCATGATGAAACAGCCTTCACAGGCCTAGACTGCACCGGGCTTGGAAAGGGATAGGGGGAGAGATGGGATAAGATGCAGGAAGAGGGATAGGGAGCAAGGGGGTGGGGGGAGGCAAACCGTCCATCAACAATCCGGTGGGGAGGGGGGGTTGTTCTGGCAGGCCGTCAAATCCAGCATTTATGTATTTTATTTTTTGGCTTTAAGTTTGAAAAGGATGTTGGTTGTAACTTGAAATAATTTCAGTGATTTTCTTTGTTACATAACGAAAAGTTCACGTTGTCACTGATCAGGAAAACTAAACCATTTGAAGGCTTCTCTTTGGCTACAGGTGAAGTATGAGGATAATTAGTTGATTGTTCTTATATAAATAACAATTGCTTATTTTCTAAAATATAATTTCAAAATAAATCAGCAATTCATTTTTTTTGATAAAGCTTTACCGTTAACATCAAAATGTTAGTTGTGAAAAGAGGATGTAAAATCAAGTTTCAATTTCAGTTACGATGTTGGTTTCCCACGATCAAGAAAAAAGATAATCAACGTTAAACGATTGTTGTTCTGCATGCTGTGTTGCGCTAGTTTTGTTCATAGGTTTGGTCATGTGTTGACAAAACCACTTTGTTTCAAAGTGTTAGTTGTTATATTTTGGCCGTGAGAACATCACCACTTCCTCAAAAAGTGTATTTCTAATATATATATTTATATTCTTTATTTGTTTTCATCTATTGCTGGTTTTTCAAAGTGTTCAGGTTTGATAAATGAATGCGATGCAGATGTTGTAAAATTAATTTAATAGTTGTGATCTCAGTGTCAATCAAAGTAATCAATTTTTGCCGTAATGGAGCAGTCCCTTCTCTGCACTTTTAGCCGTCTTTTGCTCTTTGGCTGCAACTTTATCTTGAATGTGTCTTTCACTGTGGCCAACAGGTTGTCTCAGAAGTATAAGAAGACATCCTGTTACCAAAGAATTCACAGGCTCGATTTTTCTTTTCTCCTTTTGAAAGTGCCCTTGACACAACAAGCAGACTTTGATGCGGCATTGTTTCCTCTGCTTCTTCCCCTAAATGCTGTTCATTCAGTGGCCGTCTATTGAGTCTCTCCCTCTCTCTGTTGCCTCGCTCGCCCTGGCCTAGTATCCCGATAAAACTGCCCTTCCTTTTCTGCCTTTTCTTAAATTAACCATAAATGGCCCCTTAACCTAGTTGAGATGAAGGCACTGTCGTATTTAAACAGCAGTCAATTAACTGCTAGCATTTTATTAGCATTAGTACTCGCTGTGTTTACATGAAAGCATGAAATGAGGTTACTTTGAGGAGGCATGCTAAGTCATGTTTACATGCTCTGCAGTCATGTTCTGCTGTAAAGCTGCTCAAAGTTTTTTGATCTTTCAGTTCAAGTATTTAGACTCCTATATTTGCACGTTGTCTGTTAATAATTTAGTTGTTGAACTGCTTTCCACACTTCAGCCTACAGTTTCATTACCACTACAGCTTTTCACACATCGCACCTCTACTTGAACACATGAGGTGTCAGAGTGAGACTTCTGCATTTCAAACCGCAGAGAAAATGGACTAAGATACCATCTTTTAAAAGTCTTTTTATACCAACATTGTTGCTTATTAACTCGAATAATAAACCATGTATAACAGCCATCAGAAGGCCATGTCGCAGCCAGACTTAAGCAGCTAGTACAAGGACTTTCAGCTCGCTTCAACTGGAAATGAGAGATAAATAAAGAGAGAAGAAAAAGAAGAGAAGAGAAAAAACTGCAGCGTTTGTTGTTCGGCCACTTTGGAGATGTGAGGCTTGGATCGAGGGAAAGTGTAAGATTCCCTCTCCCAGAATAAACCTTTTCCCTGGAAGTGCCAAGTGTCTCTGCGGCATCTTACCCTACACTCCTGCCATGGCACGGTCAGAGTGTGTGTGTGTGTGTGTGTGTGTGTGTGCGGGGCTCAGGCAACACGTGAGTCTCTTTAAGTGTTTGCCTGTGTGTTTGGCTCTGAGGGAATATTCATCTTTTAGCTGCTGCACTGCTGCGACGTACACATGAACGTGCCTGGCTGTGTTTAGGTCAGTGTGTTTACCTCTGAATGTGTAACTGACATGTTATTGCTTCCAGAGGGGAGAGTCTCTAGTGCTGGTCTGATGATCCTTCATGATGTGGAGCATACACACACTCAGTAAATATAACAGAGGGGAGCTTGGACCGCCGGCAAGGATTTAGAGCCGAGGGATGACATTTAGATTCAAAGGGTCTGACGTTATTTCGGCCTGGGTTGTTTGTCATAACACTGAGCTAACACAGCAGCAGCAGCTACACAGGACGGCTAACTGGCTAGCTAGCTCAGCTGCTAGCACCAATGATGTCACTTTGTCACTGAGAAGGAACAGGTGCTGCTTGTGTAGCAGATACAAGCCCGGCCTGAAATGTTCGGGAGGCCTCCGTGGTGGGTTCCACTTCACACTCACACACACACAAACACACACCTCAAACAGGGACAGCTGGCGTGTTTAGACCAAGAGTCTCAGCTGAGTTGAGCTGAATCTGAATGTGAAAATAGTTTTCAGTTTTAAAATGGAAACTTGGCTGTTGCCAAGAAGCACAGTGGAAGTATAGTGAGGTATCAGTTACTTACGGACTCAGTGACAAACCTGTAGCTGCTCTGTACATTGTTGTCATTGTCGCTGATGTGATTGTAGGTGGTCAGTTGTCTGTTTGGCTGAAGGTCCAACTCACCTTTGTAAATTCTGTGTTTCAGTTTAGTTACCACAGCTGCCTTTAGCCCCAACTTTACCATGACCTGGATGACTGAGACCATACACAGACACAGCAGCAACTTATCAGACACAGTGAAACACTCATAACATACGGATTGGAAGAACTGCGGTATAAAACCAACCAATTCAATGAATATTTAACAAGCAAGGCTAGTTTGATTATGAAGCACCATTCATACAGGGAATAATTCAAAGTACTTTATGTAGTAAAGAAATATGACATCAAGCAAAGACAGCAGGCTACAGGTAAAGAGTAGATATGCTAAGAAAAGAAGAATATGTGAAATAAGAGAAATGAAACAAACACAGAACAATAGCACATGCAAAAGAAAATGATTTAATAAAGAAAAGCAACAGCAATGGTTAAGAGACATTTCTAAACACAGTCTGTTTCTCTGATAGCCTTGGGTAGGAGGTAGGCGTTGGTTTTGTTGCACGGTTTCAAAGTAGGCTCAGCACACAATTTATTTTCATTTGAGTGATGTTTTGTATTCAGAAAGCTTGAAGTAGAGGATCTCAAGGCTGTTAGGGATTTAAAACCACAAAGAATGAGTAATGGAAGCCAGACAAAACCAACCAGAGCCATGCAAACTAGTAAAACTTTCAAATTAGTCACAAAAGATGCTGGGAACCAGTGTAGATTGGATACAGATGTTAAAGTACGATCCACTTACATGATCATATCTTTGAAAATATGTTGTAAGGTTGTCAGAATTTCCAATACTTCAAAACGTTTGAAGATACAGTCAGTAGCTTTTCCCAAAAAATCAAATATGGACTTGTACACTAGTAATGTAGCACATTCATCACTTTTGGGCCTCCTCCATAAATTTGTGGTGGTGACTGTGTCTGCAGAGACCCTGCCCTCTGCCTGTATTTTGATATTTTAGTTGACATTGGACATTTCTGGGTGGGGTGTAGGTGTATCTTCCCCAGCCAGTGACAGCACGCAGGTCAGTTTGGGATTGGATACAATTCAGTGATTAGATGTGGACTTAGTGGCAAAGAAGGGAAAATATAATCATAGTTAGGGCGAGAAGGCATGCGGGTAAAGCTCGTTCCAAAACGATGGTGAACCTTGGGTTGTCTTTCACCAGTGTGTGTTGGTCTGCTTTCTGTTGGTCAGGCAGGTGCCAAACACCGGTGGTTAACTTGTGTTAGTGTGCTAAATGATCGGCTTGTTGTAATATTCTCAGGTAGCTTGCAGCGTAGGTTTCAAGCAGTAAATGAACACACTATGTCCTGCAGTGAGCGTGCGCTTCTGGTGGGGATGAGATACCCAATTTAAATGTTGTGTTTACAAGCTGCAACAAACATTGCTACTGACTCTACCTTTAATGCTCGATTGTACCAACAAAAATAATTAAATAAACTTCAGATCTTCAGTCATAGTTTAAACTAAAAGCTGCTTTAAGCAAGGAGAGACTCTTTCTACTTTTCACAAATAGTGTGCAGGCGTTTGCTTGAAATTTTGGCTAATCTGAAACAAGAAATGATCCAGTATGGGGTGCCTAGGATTTAGGTTTTAGTTGGCCTGGTTTTGAATCAGGTATCAGTATTGTTTAGTTTTTTACTAATATCAAATCTAAGTTTAATATTCTGGTATTGTGACAGCCCTTCTCTGTTTAAACGAAGGGAAACAATAAATGATGACTTGGAGCCTATCTCTAAAAATAACAAAGATAAGTACATCTGGTTTACAACAAGAACTGAAATGTGGTGTGTAGAAAGTTCAGACATCATCCAGCTCCTTTGTCCAGTGCTATGTTCCTTAAAACTCTCTTTTTCTCTCTCTCTTCGGCCTCTGCATTATGTAACAAGCACTTCCTGTTTTGAAGTGACGGAGAAATCAGCCTATACACACATTGTTTTTCCACCTGTACTCAAAACAAGACTTTGAGTGTGATTAAATTGTTCTTCCTCTGCTTGTCTCTCTTAGCTTGCTCTATCTCACTCTCTAATTCACTCACAGATGATGGCTTTTTTTTTCTAACACGTCTGCACTCACTTGGTACACAGAAATGAAATAAAAAAAAAAAAAACTCCAGAAACAGGAAGTGTGTAGTAAGCTGTACGCCCTTCTAGTATGCGCCTCCTCTTTAGTTTGAAAAAAGGGACAGAAGAAAGGGGGAAATGGGAGGATGAATTGGGTCCTCTTCACTAACGCATCTCTATTTCAGTGTGTGGATATTTATTTAACAGACAGACTGCTGACCGCTGGACAATAAGAGATGATAAAGAAGCTTTAAAGAGCTCAGAGCTCCATCGCTGCAGTTTCCTATTCTTTCCGGCAGTCACTGACTCTCTCCTCTCCTCTCTTTCTTCACCCCTCCCTCCTTACCTCCTCTGTCTCCATGCAGTCCTCCAGCTCAAACTCCTGCAGAGACGCACACGAGAGGAACTGGTCAGCCAAGGGATCATGCCACGTAAGTCTGCTTAAAGTCTGTGTTACTCTGGAGAGTTCAAAATGTGCTTCATTCTGAAAACCTGCATCAGGCATCGTCAGCATGTTTCGTTTAAATTGTACATATAGTTACATAGTAAGTTCTTATTTTTGCAGTGAGTGATGCACAAACTCAATTAACACAACAGACAAAGCTCAAATGTATTCACCTTGAGGTAGTTTGTGTTTATCCTGACTGTAGTATTTTTTATTCTTAATTAAAAACCAAGATGAGAGCTAGAACAGTGTGTCTATCTACTAAAATAGGCCGTCTTCGTCTTCTGCACAGGATATGTTGGTGAACTTTATCTCTCTCTCGCGCCTTTATAATCAGAAATACACTCAGGTATCACAACTGCTGAATGTATCAGTCGTTATCTGCATCTGCTATGTGTAGAAGTGTTCAAGATGTGTCACATTTGGTGGTGACTTTGCACCACTTTTTGTTATCAAATAGAACAGCTTCCTCTTCCTGTGTATCTACTTCCTGTTTCACAGTTCCGCACATCACAAGTGGAGGAGATGTATAGTTTTGAGAATTTTCCTCTTTTTTTCTGTTTAGTGCTTTGCTGTGAGTGGTAAATACTGTAGAAGGCTTTTCTCAAAATAAATTCAGTCCATGACCAACCAATCAGCCTCATACAGTTTAGATGGAAGCTTATCAGCTAAGATAAAGTGAGGAAACAGAGAAACTAAAGATATATTGAGTATTCAAGAAAAAACTTAATGAGGTCAGTTAGAGAGGTTACTCCTTACAAATGATAAAGCTGGAAGAAAAACGTTTCATTCTTACTCTGTAGAAAACATGGTCGTAGTCTCAGTGAGGTCGACCATTGGTTTCTGAAAAGATGCTCACCCAACGCGCCCACCTGTCAGTGACCTCAGCTGTTCCCGTGCTTATTCACATTTTAGCTGAACTCCTCCTCACCTAATATCATCAAAATGGAGGAGTTGTAAGAAAATGAGGCAAACTTCTTCCTACCAAAAAGAAAAAAGAAAAGCGCTACCAAAAAACCCAAACTGTTTTTTTTCACCTCTGCTTTGGCTTTATTTTTCAACACCAGAGGTTGCCTCTTGTTTAATATAAGTCTCTCATCTCTAATTGACGTTTGACACATGAAGAAACTAGAGCCTGACTAGTATATCAGGAAAAACAGGCCTCTCAAAATGCTATGCATGTTATAGGCTGAAGACAATATGTCTTCATCAGGCCCTAGAGAAAAACTAAACTTGCTGCGTCTCCTTACAACACAATAAAAACTACCACTGCTGTTGGTGAATGGTCATAAAAATATTCTTAAGTGCTTTGAAGCATAATGCCCAGCTAAAGACGACACTGAGAGTGTTGGGAACTGATGAAGGGTCAGTTTCTGCTGCAGCATCTTATCCTCACACCCTTATTGCCAAGTGTAGGTTGTCAAAGAACAACTCTCCTCCTTCCTTTCTCAGTCACTGTCTGGATAGACAAGTGAGGTTCAGAGATTAGATATGTGGATAAAACACAACTCATAACAAGGCCTCTGTGTCTCTAGGTCAGCCATTTTTCTTACATTTGTCCATACTGCATGCTGCCTGATGGATTTACCCCATTGAAAGTTTATTATTGAACCACATTTAATTAAGAAGCACCTTGTTGGGTTTAAAGTTGTCAAACAATAAGAAGGAGCGCCAGCTTGTAAAGCGCTTTTCTAGTCGTCTGATTACTCAAAGCAGTTTTTACATCGCAGGTCACACCTACAAATTCACACCCACTCACACTGATGGCAGAGGCTGCTGTGTAAAGTATCAAATTGGGGTTCAGTGTCTTTTCCAAGGACACTTCGACATGTGGCTGCAGGAGCGGGGGGTCGAACCTCTGACCTTCCGGTTGAGAGACGAGTAACAACCGCTGAATCACAGCAGGGTCTCCTGTGTTTGTTCTGCAGAGTAAAGCTCTGCTTTGTTATCTACAGCTCTATCTGGTTTTTAATGTTAATGTTACAAATGTAAAGTAGTGGCATATTCTGGAGGTTAATCAGAATGGTGCTGAAACAGGATCGAATATTAATCAGGGGATTCATAATGACACAAAATATTAACGTACAAACAAAACAGTAAATCAGACTCAGAGGCATCAGAAGGCTTCAACTCAAGTATTGATATTTGACTGTTGGAGACTTTTTAGGCATTTGTATAGTAGCTTAAAGTAAATGTGGTTAGGCCGCTCCTCACGTCGAAAGAGTCTCTTGAGTCTAGTGAACCATAAACAGCACAACACTCTGATATCAGCTGAACTTCATGAGCAAGAGATATTTGTTTCACATAGAAGATGAAAGATCAGTTGACCAGTTCTCTGTTCTCATATGATCTTTATTGTTGGTTGCGTCACAGCTGGTATGTGGCTCTTCCCCTCTGTGCATCAGGGCGGTGGGTTAATGTCAAGAGGAATTCCTCCAGCCCCCACCCACCCAGTCATCTGAGGCACACATACCGTGGACACCCCGCTGTACGCAGCATGTCCACACTCACTAACCTTAAGCAGGGAGTTTCACCAGCTCTTGATCAATCCTACATAGTTGTGTTGCATCATTGTAACTGCCACCATTCTCCCAATATCCTTCCCCAAAGACAGAGGACATCTTTGTATGAACATTTCCAAACTTTCACAATGAAGTTTCTTATGTTTGAGACCATTATCTCTAATGAAAACGCACAGATCGGACTTAAACTTTGAATGATCAATATGAGAAAAAAAAGTCTCATAAGCTGTTTCAACCCAATGTTACATTTAAAGGTGTGGACCAACATTTCTGTGTTAAAATTATTTACTTTTTCTGACAGTTATGCACTTTGTTACCTTTGAGAAGAAGTCCAGTCAGATACTTAGATATGGCTTTGTAAAAATATATACAAACGTGTTTCTACTCGTACACAGACATCCACACCTCCCCCCCATACACCCAGTACACTGAGGACAGCCATGGCTGAGTGCTGTGATGAATTTATATGTCTTTGTGTGCAGCGGTCATCCATCAGTCCCCGCTCTCCTCTGTGTTCTTGCTCCTTTTTAACGACCCGATCCAGACTACTGCTCATTAAGAATTCATGTCCATCAGATCCCCGACAACTGTCATTCATCAGATATGCTGTTTTTTGCTGTTTTTGCAGTTTTTGCAGTCTGCTACATGCAAAAGTCTTAGCCTATAAGTATAAGAGCTGCAAAAGCCCAACAGAAGGCGAAACCATCTTTTATTTGCAGTTCAAGCTTAGAGGCAGTACCTTCAATAGGGGTTAACACTTAATGAACACTTAACTTTATTAGTGACAAGCTAAGCTCCCAGAATGCACTTTTGTTACAATGACGCTAATCAAACTGCTGAGTAAAGGTTTGAGGAAAGCTCTGGTCATGGTTACATGCGGTCCTGTGAGATCTTTCCACATGGTTACTAACTTACAACCTAACTTTTTGAAACAAACACTGACTACATCTCAACTCGTCCTGCAGCTGCCTTACTGCTGCAGCCACACTGAGCACAAAGATAACATGACCAGACGCTCCACTGCAGAATAACAGGCCAAAGTATACCTAATGCAGTTACAGTCTAATAACTGAGGTGGCTTTCGCTGCAAAGGAATTGTGTGTGCTGTGCACTGCACACACAGCATGCTGCAGCGTCCCATCAGCCTCCTGATCTGTCATCACAGTGTGCGTTTCAGAATCGCACTCCTGACCTTTGCGTTCTGCAGTCACTTCTGCTCTGAGTCTGTCTTCCTCTATATCTGTATCTGTTCTCACATTGTCACCCGCTGAAAGGAGCGTAGCGACTCGCATCAGTCTGAGCGAGCTGACTTCATCTCTTTCTCTCTTTTTTCCCTCACTCTCTTCCCCCTCCTTTACCCCCCCCCCCCCCCTGCAGCACTGAAGAGCCCGGCAGCCTTTCACGAACAGCGGAGGAGTCTGGAGCGAGCAAGGGTGAGTGTCTTCAGAGGAGTGAGTTTCCTTTGTGTGAAAGCTTCTTCCTTACAACAACAAATCACAAAGCATTATCTGAAGTAGAATACACAGTCAGTATGCATTGCTAAATTCAATGGCTATAAAGCTTTAATAAATGACAAATCATATCTGCCACACAAATAGAAGTACTATTTCAGTCAGAAGCTGCACAAACCCAGCAGTGCTGCTCAGCATTCTTAAGAAGGTTTTAATAATCACATTTACCTCTGGCTTAAGTTGTGTAAAACTATTAAGAGTTGATCTCTGCTGATTTAAAGTAATATTTGCTGACTCGTCTATTATGATTTATCACTGATGCATGTCAACCAATAAATGCTTTTGAAATGCTTGTTTAGCAAAGATAGCTTTAGCAACAACAACAACTGTCTCGGGTCAGGAATCACTAGTTATCAATTTTGTTTTGTCAAATCTGTTTATATCATATCATGAAGATATTTCCTTTACATTAATTAGAATTTATTATATTTTTTATTGTGACCAACTCTGTCAAAATTAAATTAATATTGCAGTTAGCATTAACTGTTGGAATTTTTTTTCGAAACATGCAACCTGTACAAGAAAAGAGATAAAGCTGCTTGCAGCTGAGAGTAAATGACTATACATTTGAAATGTAATCATTATGCCTCAAACTAAAAAAAAAAAACACATGTCCTCACCGGTAACATCAGTACCATCTAGGAATTTTTATTTTATTTTCATCATTCAAGCCAAGCCCAAACACATAATTTGATTCTTAAACGTATCGTTACCCTAATCATTTGTATGACTGGTTCTGTACTGATAAAAAAAAAATTATGTTGATACATTCTTTGCCTCAACCCTTCCACTGTTTTAAACATCTTCTAACGGTGCTTAAATGTTTTTTCATCCCAGACCGAGGACTATCTGAAGAGGAAGATCAGGAGTCGACCTGAGCGCTCTGAACTGGTCAGGATGCACATTTTGGAGGGTGAGTCTGAACACACAAGTCCACTCTTTCTGACTTGGAAGAATAGCTTCAAGAGGTATGAAAAAGTTACCTTTAATAAATGAGACTTTAATTGATAAGGAACCACATTGTAACTTTAAAGGGATAGTTCGGGGGCTGGTTGTAGTTCTGGTACCGAAGCTATGCTGTACATTGCTGCAGATGAGTTTGATTTAGCATAATGACGTGATACATACATTTTGCCAATAGACTAATAATTGTTTTATTTGGTGCGCCGGTAGCCTATCGGTTATGTCGCCCCATGTACGGAGGCTGTGGTCCTTGTTGCATCAATGGAGATGCTTTCAGACATCTCATGTTGAAGTAAAGGGGGATGTCTTGCTTTGCTGTATTTTAACATAAACCCCCTTGTTGAATAAACTTGTGTGCCTTCATGTGTCCTCCACAGAGACGTCTGCAGAGCCGTCCCTGCAGGCCAAGCAGCTGCAGCTGAAGCGGGCACGACTGGCCGACGACCTCAACGACAAAATCTCCCACAGACCAGGTCCCATCGAACTGGTTCACAAGAACATCCTGTCGGTTACCTGCACTGTGCACTCACCACTGGGTAAGCGGAGACAGACTCACAAACACAACTCATAGTCACATGTGTCTTTGTTCATGGACAGAAGCCTTGAAAGTGTCAGTTGCTTTGTTAAAGCTGTACTAAAAAATGAACAGAAGGTTACAGTCACACACATAAACACAATAACCATGTAGTCAGTTGAGTGTGTAGATAGAATGTTTGCACAAAAACACCAATTCAACATAAAACACAATCAGATGCCAACACGGTGCCGCGGTTAGCGCTGTTGCCTGGAGTTGGGGTTTGCATGTTTTCCCTGTGCATGCGTGGGTTCTCTGGATGGATGGATAATATACAGATAAAGAAAACAGCACAGTTTTAAGTTACCAAAATAATTAATAATTACAGGAACGTGCAGGCGCAGGGATGCCTCGACACACAAAAACCTCACAATAATCAGCTAAACTCTCAATCTCACTGTCAAGATAACTTGTAAACAAATGACACCAGACTCACTTTTAAAGACACAGTGAATTCATTTGACTCATTCTGAGGGGATTCTGATTCTAAAAAAATAAAAATGATCAAAGTCAGCAAACATCTCCCGGTCCACTTGCTCTCCTTTCTTTATGCACTGAAAAAACTGATTGTCTGTTATATACATGGCCTCGGCTCTTGGGCCTATGAAAGAGTTGTGAACATCATTGTTTGGAGCTGGTGGGGACACCGCTCTTCCTCTATGCATGTTAGCTTTGTAACCAATGACTGGCCCATTACCTAGCTAACAGCACTTATTATGTCATTGTTTGCATTAGCATCAAATCAAGGAGTTTGTGAATGGTGTCATAGCCTCTATTTGAGCAACATTTTAACTTTAACATCTGTCTTTCTCCATGATTCAAACCCAACACCAGTAATTGACAGATTATTCCTGAACTTTCTTGAGCCCTACGGCTTAGGGCAAAGATGAAAACAAAGATGAAACAGATGTCATTGTGTAACCATTATACCTCTGGCTTAAATGTTACTGCATGAAACCCTTGCATGTAATAAATGGTAGATACACTATTACCTTTGTATTTACATCATCCAGGTATCCACACACTCTTGTAATACAGTGTTTTCAGATCAGAGTCTGATAAGTCAGCTCAGGTTGCATCATCACTACTGGATGTTTGAATTTGAATTGATTTATTTAATAGGGACAATGCGATTTAACATAGTTTCAAAGCATACTTGAAACTGATGTGCTGCATTAAGAGTATGAAGCTATTGCTCATTTCCAACTCTTGTCCTCAGTATGTGGTACCATACAAACTTTTGACCAACAACAGATGTGTCCAAACAACAATGTTTGTACATAGTCCTGTGTTGAAACACAGCAGGACATACAGTGTTGTATAACTTCTCTAAAGTTAGTCATGGTTGTTGAGCAATCTGCTAAACAGCTGTGACTTTGCTTGACATGGTAACATTCTGCAAGGAAGCTGGAAGTTGAACTTGTTGTCCTCTTTTCTTTTTTTTTTTACCAGCCACTGAAGTTTGTAGCAGACAAGATGTTACAGTAACTCTTGTTTGTTGTTGATTATGAACTCCTTTTTTCCCTCTGTAAACAGCTGAAGGAGAGAGCTCGTCTTTAGATGAAGACAGCAGCGACGCACTTTCCCCGGACCAGCTAACCAATCACGACTCACCTGTGAGCGCCGTCCCTCAGTTGTCTCCACCTGACACGGTCACCCAGAACGGGGACATTCCCCTCACACAGGTACCGCCACAGAATCTCATCTTAATCAATCAACAGAATCAAGAGGCTGTCAATAAGATGTTACATTTTTCTTTTAAACACTGTCACACTTTTAACAAGAGACATATCTTCTCAGTTCCTGACTCAGCGGCCCCCTCCGCCTCCTCCGCCTCCTCCACCCCAGGTGAATGGGTCAGACTCCTCTCCGTTCACAAAATTAACAAACGGGACAACAGTGCCAGTGACCATAACAAACTCCCGCCCTTCTACCGGACAGGTCAAGGTGCAGAAACATTTATTATTTTCCTTTTGATAATCAAAGAAGCATGACATATCATCCTGCAGATCTGATGATTTAGGAATAAATCTGACCTTAATCTCTATTTGTGGAGCAGCTATAACTGGCTAACCCTCCCTCATCTCTTCATTTCCTCACTGCCTCCCCCCTGACCCCATTTCTCACGCTTTATGTCATACAGTCTCAGTCTAAGACGAGTTCAGACCGTCCTTCACACAGATCCAAGAAAGCAAAGGACAGCAAGCCCAAGGTCAGTAACAGACACTGACACCAGACTTACAGCTGATCTCTTTATAATGATCTCTCTCCTTTCAAAGTTGTCCAATCTTTCAGGTTGTATTCACTTCCTTTCTTTTCTTCTTTTTTTCATTTTTAAAGAATCAATATTTTGAATATTGAACCATGAAGCTGAAATTTACTTCAAATCAGCTGGTTTTGGTGTCTCAGAATGCCAGGTTTTCTAAATTCATGTAATGTTTTCACAACTTAAAACTGATACAAGGAGAACATATTGTCTTAGGGGAAGAGGGATACAGTTTTGTTCAAAAAGTCCTAAAAACACCAGAACAGAGACTTGTTGTTTAGTGAAGAGGAAATGGTTGTTCTAGAGCTGAAAGTACATTTTAACCGGTTATCTTTCCATCTACATTTTTGTTTTTTAAATGTCATCCACTTATTTAGGCAGATAGTGTAGAATGAATGTACCACGCTCGTCTTATCCTATAGCAGAAACATTTTTGTTAACCTTTCCATCCTGGATGCAGGTGAAGAAGCTGAAGTACCACCAGTACATCCCTCCGGATCAGAAAGCAGACAAAGAGCAGCCGCCTGCGATGGACTCATCTTACGCTAAGCTTCTTCATCAGCAGCAGCTCTTCCTGCAGCTGCAGATCCTCAACCAGCAACAGCAGCACTACAACTACCACACCATCCTGCCTGCCCCTCCCAAGTGAGTGTCAAGCATGACTGTGTCTATTTGTAGGTGTGATGGTAAGTGTGTGTGTGTTTGTGATTGTGATTTTGGCATGAGGGTGAATAACTTTGATGGTTTTATGTGAAGAATCCACTAGTTGCTCCTTTCCTTTTCCTTCCTCATATAAGTTATTACCCATAGTTCTTTTCTGAAGCACAGTACTTGTATAAGTTCTGTTAATATCGTAAAAAATATTCTTTCTGAGTTTGGCTTTAGCGGTGTGATGAATTTGTCACTGAATGAAATGTTTTTATGTTTTGAACAACTAGAAACCATTGAGATATAAAAAGGAAAGTGTATAAAGAACCTGATCAAAGAGAACTATATTTTTACCCACCATTACCTGCTGTTATTCAGCATTTCCTGTCACATAAAACTGAACCATCTTCTCTCTCCCCTCAGGCCACTGACGGAGCAGCCTCCCACAACCACTTCCGGCCCTTCCCCCTCCCGCAGCGCTCCCACGACTACCACCCCCGCCACCTTCAATCAGAGCGGGAGTGCCCGTCAGAGCCAAACTGCAGTGGGCGGAGCTAAACCAGTCAGTCTGCCTGCCAACCTGGATGAGTTCAAGGTGAGTGTATCAGACAGCTTCATCTGCATTCTGGCAAGTCAGCTGAAAACAAAGGGAAAAATGTCAACAATTTTATCATTTCAATAATTTGCTAAAAAATGTAGCAATTAAATCTGTTTTCACACATGCACTTGTGAGTTTTAGAAGGACTGACTCTGAAATCCTCCTGACCTTGCTGTTCACACATACACCTCACAGCGGGGGGCTATCCTGGTCAGACAGTAGAGTGGGGCGGGGGGAATCCTGAGGTAAAAATAACAATGTGGAAGTGATGATGAAGCAACAGAGTCCGTTATACAACGCTATAATCAGAATATTTGCCTTTAAATCAATGCTACTTGTAGTCCAACAGAATCACACTATCAAAAAAAGAGGAAAAAACAACATACTGACGAACACAAAACATAATGCAGCAGTTAAATGTTGTGCACAGAGATCATAGCAGTCACATGCACACAGTCTATGGTTGTGTAACGATCACAGGGAATAATCATCACCATCCCCTCCCACTCACTGGAGGTGAATACTGCTGCGTTCTCACATCAGCTCACTCAGACTTTCTGCAGAAAAAATACTAGGGGGCTGTCAGGAGAAACTCCGGATAAGTGAAAAATTTGGCTGTCTGCGTTCTCACATACAGCTCTCTGTTGTTCAAGTGTGAAAATACAAGTTACCTGTGATGTCAGACCACCTTGTCTTTAAAGACATATTGTATGTTCCCTCTAAAAGTATAACTTATTAAATGATTCTGAACCTTCACCTCTGCATACAGAGTAATTTTTATGGCATAAATCTTTTCATTTAAGAATTATGTAGAGGCCTGGAGAGGGGATTTTTCAGAAAAATACTTTTTTAATTGTATGTAGTTTCTCTCTAATAGATTTGTAAGCCTCATGTGACCCCCTGTTGAGGAGAACTTGAACCCTATTTTGGGAACCTGTAAACCTAATTATGATCCCCTGAACCTTACACTTTCTGTTTTTGTCTTTTTCAGTTGTTCTGTTCTCTTTCACTCTTAGTCAGTGTTTGCTCACTGATCTGGTTTCTCATCCTCCAGGTCGCTGAGCTGAAACAGGAATTGAAACTGCGTGGTCTGACCGTCTCAGGCACCAAGAACGATCTCATTGAGCGGCTTCGCAACTACCAGGAGCAAAACGGCAGCAACGCGGCAGCTTTGAAAAATGGCACATCACAGCCCAGCCATCAGGTCACGACCTCGGCTGCTGGCACTGTCACTTCCTCTCCCGCCATAACAACCACACCTGAGCACCAACCAGATGGAGGGTTTAGGTTATCTCTATCATCCCTGGCTCAGGTGGTTCCAGGGCGGGTCATGAGGTTTGGCAGCACCAGCTCCAGCCCTCCCGTGTCACCTTCTCCGTCTGAGAGGTCTTTGGCCGGGATGAGTCCTGATGAGACGAGCTGTAACGGGGACATGTTCGGAGAGATGGTAAGAAACATATATACATCGTTCGTTTTTTGTTGAAGGTCCAGGAATTTGGCTAGAACATATAAATGAAATGAGAGATGGACCTTGTAAAGTCAAAAACGTGTGAAAATAAAAGTTAAGAACTTAAAACACTTAAAAAACAAACATTTGTTGATAAGACTGTTTTGGATGGAGGATAGCAGTTTGATTGACATCTGCCTTGCTCTGCACACAGCAGCACTTTTGACAATCAGTGTTTAAGATCTCAACAAAATGTTCAAGCCGTCTGAATCAGAGGAAGAAGAAGAGCGAACAACATAAAAATGTTATAGATTGGTTACTGAACACTGGTTACAAAATGCTTTGTTATCCATATCATAGTTCGCTGTGAGCATAAACATGCTATTGCTAATAAATACCTTAAATGCTACCTGAGGCTAATATTTAAAATTTTGATTTCTACAATTCTACAATTCATATTACAGACGCTTTTATCCAAAGCGACATACAAACATCAGAGAGTAAGTACAACACAAGCAAGGATCTAGAGAGGAGAGAAAACAACATCAGTGCAAACAAACAGCTTTCAGTCCGATCAGACACACAGGTGCTGACAGGAAGTGACAAGAGGCAAAGCACAACATCGACGGCAGTTCTTGAGAGCTCTAATCAGTATAGAAACTATCCTAAAGATCGCCATTGTCAAAATCATCATCATCGATTTCATGAAAGAGCTGGGTCTTCAGCTTTTTCTTAAAGGTGCAGAGAGACTCTGCAGATTAAATGGAGTTTGGAAGTTCATTCCACCACCGGGGGGCGAAAGAGCAGACGAGTCTAGTTAGAGACTTAGGGCCCTGTTGTGAAGGTTGGATCTCTATAATTGGCAGAGTGTAGTGGGCAGGAGGGAGTGTAAACCTGGATGATAGAGTTTAGGTAAGGAGGAGATATTTTTTGTCGCTGTTTTGTAAGCGAGCAGCAGAGTTTAAATTTGATGTGAGCACTGATTGGAAGTCAGTGAAGGCAGAGGAACAATGGAGGGTCATGTGCCATGACCAGTCATGCTGCTGCTTTTTGGATCATCAGCTGATTACGAAACAGACAGAAATTCATATTCATGCCTCTACATGAGCAACAAAAGCAACTTTGATTATTTCTGTGTAATCATTTGTAATGCCTGTTACCACTGCCAGACCGCTGTAGGTGTCAGACGAAGTGAGTAACAACATGCCTTCGAAACAGACTTTGATTAAAATTTCAACAATTAAGATTCTTCAAAGTTAGACGTTTGATCGTTGATATGAAGCAGGATGAGATTTTTCTTAATAGAACACTACTTGTACATGTACAGGACGGATCAGCATAAGAGGTACCTCCTTGTCCAAACAAAAAAAACGTTCTTATGAGCTTTAAAATATTTTTAGATGCATTCCTTCTAACCCTTTCCTAACTTTCTCTTCTTGTTTTGTCGTCCACCAGGTGAGCTCTCCCCTTACCCAGCTCACCCTGCACCCGTCTCCCCAGCACCCATCCAACGTCGCTCCGCTCTCCCAGTCTCTCTCCAACGTCAAAGAGGAGATCCAGAGCTCCTGCAGCCTCTCTAGGCCATCCCCCTCCTCAAGTCAGCCTCCAGAGCCTCAGCCTGGAGTTGCCATGGACACCATGGACAAAGACCAGATGCTGCAGGAGAAGGACAAACAGATTGAGGAGCTAACCAGGATGCTGCGTCAGAAGCAGAGGCTGGTGGAGACGCTGCGGTCACAGCTGGAGCAGGGCAAGATGTCGGGTGCAATAGTGATAGCAGGAGGGGACAAGAGCAAAACACCCAGAGATGTTAAACTTCAAACTCTAATAAAAGCCTCTGCCATTCAGCCCCCTGTTTTCCCTAACGGCATTGTGGTGAAGGTGAAGAAGGAGGTGGAGCCTGAAGAGCGGATGGAGGGAGTGACAGAGGAGGAACAGGCGAAGAAACCAGAGCAGCCGATGCAGTGCTCTCAGGAGACCCTCGTCCGGCTGCAGCAGATCCACCGGCTGCAAGTCCAACAGGCCGAACAGCAGAAACAGACGCTGCAGCAGAGTCCCACACAGAAAGTAGCCGAGGCAAAGACAAGCCCTCAAAAGCTGCAACAGCAGAAGAAAGAAGCTCAAATCCTGCTCCATCAGCAGCAGCAACTGCAGCAGCTCATCATCCAGCAGACCCAACAGAAACAGCTGCAGGCCCAGCAGAAGTTAGTGCAGCAGAAACTCGCCCAGCAGAAGCTCAGTCAGCAGAAACTGCAGCTGCTCAAACAGACTCAAGGGCAGGTCCAGCAGAAGAACCAGGTCCAACTGAAGCAGGTTCAGGTGCAGATCCAGAAGTCTCCGGGGAACCCAGTGCAGCAGAGGAAGCAGCTGAAGGCTCAGCACAGGAGGCAGCAGACTGCAGCAGTCACCACACAACAGGTAATGAGGCCAAGCAGTGGTAGACATGTAAAGGTTCTCTTTTTAAAGTGACAGTCGTGTTTAAGTTTTTCTTTATATTACATCTTCGTTGTTAATTAAAAAATAATAATGCCTCAAAAACTGATCAATAGTTTGATTTATTTTTCCAGGTGACCCCTGTCGTCATCAACCAACAGAATGGCACTCAGATCCACACTCAGGCCATTTCATTAGATCTCCTCAAGGCCAACGGTGCGCCAACACTCGTCACCGACAGCAATGGAAACCACTACCTGATCGCCCTCACCAGTAACACCCCAGATGGTCAGAACGGCGTGTCCTCACTGGCCAAAACAAATGGACGCATCACACTGCAGGTACATATTAAACTGTGATTGTGTGATGTGCTGCTCGGGGGTTTATAGCATCAGAGGTAATCTTTTTTTCTGCTCGTTCTCTTCTTGTAGAGATTGCAGTCGACTCCGAGTAAACTGCCCAGCACTGAAAGCAAATCAAAAGAGCAGCCAGAGGCGGAGCCTGTGAGCCAAGCAAACAAAAAGGTAGGGGAAAAACTGTTCTTCCTATTGAATGTTTATATCTATGAGAACAGATATATGTTAAAGATAATGAACACATTTGTTATTGGTTAGAAAAATTACATTTCTCAATTCATATGCTGAATCTGTCTAACTTTATTATTCAGGTCTCAAAGTGAACGTACAGGTTGCATTTTAAAAAGTGACTTTTTACCAAGTTGTTTGTGATCAATTGTTTCTTTTCTGTTTTACCGCTATGCATTAATACCCGTTGAGTCTTTCTTAGTTGATCATATCTTCTGTTGTTTTCTCTTTTGCTGCACATATTTGAACATTAGTTTTGAATGTATTCATAGACATAGTTTAATGTTAAATAATGTACATATCATCGCGGCGTTGCAGATCACAAATCCCACGATTCAGATCGGATCACAGGTTTTTTCAGGGATTGGATCTTTGTAACCCCCCCCCCCAATCACAGTCATCAATTGTACAAACAAACAAATAGCTGTTACCTGCATGATGGGATGAGAGTGAACGCAGAAAAGACGAAGCAGCGTTTGAAACAAAGTAACCACACACAATCATTCAGATTCAGATTCTTTATTGTCCCACAAGGGGAAATTTGTGTCACAGCAGGAGCACACAGAAGACAAGAAACACGAGGAATACATCACCGAAAATGGGAATTCCTACAAAGTTATGATTATAAGGGGTTTGAATCAGACACACATCAAGACCCAGATTCAGACTTAAAAACAGACACACACGACACACCAAGAGCAGCGCCCCTAGTATGAAGTTTATCAACGCTTTGTCTTTATTTCTGTCTGTGAAACATTTTAAAAATATTTTTTAAAAGAATAAAATATCTTAATGTTTTTGTACAGCCGGTCCAAACGACTCTAATTAAATGCTGCCATCTTCTCACTCAGTCTCTGCACAGGGACTGAGCTGTTATTTATTATAGGCATAATAAATTTAGACATTTTACATAGATCAGCGTAACCATGAGGCGTGATCCTTTTCACCACTAATACATCAGTGCAAACGATTCAATTTTACAGAGAATTCCAAAACTAAAAATCTCCATAACTGTAGAATTTCTTTGCACCTATAAGAATGTAGACGGCAGCTGTTTTTATTTACAAATGTACATTTCTTGTGCAAGACAGAAATAGAAAAACATATAGAGGGATTTGATTAGAGGTTTAAAATGTCTTTTCTCTCCTCAAGTAGTTACGTCTGTCTGCCACTAGGTGTCAGCACAAACACAGGAATCATACAATGTGAAACAGCAGCCTGTTGTTCAGAAATAAGACCTAAGAAGCCATTCACAAATCAACATTCATCATATTAAACTCATGTCTCTGCCTCTCTCTTTACTTAGGGACAGAAGGCGGGGCTTCACCTGGACACCAATGGTTCGCCCCAACCCAGCCTATCAGCCACCGCTCCGCCCAACCTGCAGCCTTTCTTTGACGACGTGTCAGACAGTGAAAGCCAAAGCAGCTTACTGTCATCTCTGAAGGTAAGACCACCTCCGTCTTCTCCATCTACGGCCTTGTGTTGTAAACCTCATTAACTTATTTCTCTCTTTCCTTCTCTTTTCTGTTCATCTCATCTCTTCATCACTCCACCCGGGCAGAGAGAGGAGGTGTGTCCGCCTTATGACCGGCACACACTCTTCACCCCTCCCTCTCCCAAACCCAACACCTCCCTTCCTGCTCAACGCTCCAAAGTATGTCCCCCCCCCCAGCTCGCCTTTTTTTTCTTTCCATCTATTCTGCAGTTTTGTTCTGTTTCTGTTTCCTCCTTCATTTTTCCGTCTGAGTGTCTCGCACTGAGCCATGTGCTCATTTTGCTAAACTGAAGGCGGTTGGAAATGTGTAGACAGAGAGGTTTCAGTGGTGGATTTGATTTAGAGTGAGATAATGCTTCACTGTTGTTGTTTTACATTTTTCTGCAATGTTAAAATGAAATACCCTCATTGCTCAAACTACAACTCATGTGGTCTGATGAAGCTTTATTAAGCTTCTGTACTTCCCCCTGCTTTGATGACTCAAGACAAACACTGGTTTCAACTTGTCATTTCATTTGAACAGGCGATATATGTAATTATAAAACAGATTTAAAATTAATCAGAAGTTATCATCTAACCTTTTAAATCACTGATTTCAAAACTTTAACCACATTGTAAAACAAAATAAATTTTTATTAGCTACATGTTTTATATTTTTTCACTATATTTTTTATAAAAGACAACAAAGAAAAAGTGCTGTAGAGTATATGAGGAGAGGTTGTTAGTTTCAAATGTGAACGCTGTGCCTTCAACACTTCTTTTGTGCAGCAGAGGGTCTCTCCTCTGGTGCAAAAGACTCTACTTCTAAATACATACACTGAGATTTTAGGTACATTTTTATTTGATTTTGGAGTTGCACCACTGATTTGGAACCAGGCTGAATTTTATCCCAATGTGTGCCTTGTAGTGTACAGGGGGGCACAAGTTTAACTTAACTTAATCAGATATTAGAAACAGGGTAACTAGAGAGAAAACAATGTAAAGTTTATGACTGTGTTTTAAGCTCAGGTTTTCTATGCTAGTCGAGTTGTGTTTTCATGTGTTCTCGGTGGCTGACTGATGACGTGTTCTCCTCTGTTAGCAGGAGAATGGTGTGAACAGTCAGCAGATGGATGACCTGTTTGACATCTTGCTGAAGAGTGGAGGTAATACATTTTTTTCAAACATCAGCGACAGAAAGACTTTTTCCCAAACTTCTATTTGTTAATGATGTATTCTTCTTTCTGTTTCTTCCTACAGAAATCTCCGGCTTCAAGTCCAACCCTGACCCCTCCCTCACCCCACTCTCTGACCCGCCTTCACCTGCTTCTCCCCCATCCCCCCTCCATCTCTCCCCTCCCACCCCCACACAGCCCCTCCTCTCCCCTCAGCCCTCTGTAGGCGAGCCCTGCACAGGCAGTGCCCGCCTGGAGGACTTCCTGGAGAGCACCACTGGCGCCCCGCTGCTGGGGGTGGAGCCTGACGGCGGCCTGACGCTGATCGACGACCTCCACAGCCAGATGCTGAGCACGCACAGCATCCTGGACCACGCCCCTTCCCCCATGGACACTTCCGACCTGGGCTTCTCCCCTCACTCTACGGGGCTGGACTTCGGTGACCCCACCTTGGACAGCATGGACTGGCTTGATATCTCCATGGTGGGAAGCAGCGGTGTAGGGAGCGGGGGCAGCGGAGGGGGGAGAGGAGGAAGAGGAGGGGAGGTCGCTGGTGACGGAGATGGAGGGACGAGCCTGACCCCGCTGGCGCCACACACTCCACCCAGCGTCTTCTCGGCCGACTTTCTGGACAGCACGGACCTGCAGCTACACTGGGAGTCATGTCTGTAGCCCTGCGCGAGGACTGACGGGCGCTGGCTCACACTGTGTACACGCTGCGTCTTTATTTCATGCACATACTGAAACCTTTTCTATGCTGTCTCTACCACTGCGGGGGTCACTGGCACATGCAAACACGCACACATTTACTCAGTTTTCCTTGTCTTTTACTTGCTGTTACTGATCGCAGGATGAGGTGAAATAAGCAAATGAAATTCTATGAGGAGCCAACAAGCAGACGGGTTAAAATCCAGGCTGGTAAAATCCCACTTCATGTGTCCTGAGCTGCATTTCAAGCAAGTAAAAGTAAACCAGCAGAACTGTAGGTCACTGTAATACAATTGTTCAACTCCTGGAGGCGGTTTGACGGATAAGAGCTGAGGATGGACCGTCAGTGACGTTCACTCAGGCTCTTTGAGATATCAGAGTGCGTGTGTCAGTGCCTCCTAAACTTTGCACTTATGCTGAATCTGATTGGTTTAAAGGGTGTGTTCAGGTCACAATCGTAATGCTGCCTGGTGAGGCTGACTGAGAGTCACCATGTATTCTTTTGATCAGCTGAGCTGTTGATGGTGTGAAATGGAAGGCAGCTGTCGGTGACCTCGTCGCCTCACCGCGGCAACCTGAACCCCGCCCACACTAGTCAAAAAAACACAACCATCACTGGTTGACAGTTGCTATTGGAATGAACCATATCATTGGCAACAGTTTGAATTGAAGCCTCGTTGGAGGTTGTGTATTATTGGTAACATTATGGTAGGCCACTGTGTATTGCTGTATATGGGGTGTATATTATCAATTGTCCATAAGACTATTTTTCTTTGCTGGTTGCTTTAGAGTCGAGCTCGCCGGCTGGGGAACATAGGGTGAGGGCGGGGCTTCCAAAATACTTGGACCTTGTCATTTTTTAAAGAAAAAAAAGTTTAAAAAAAAAAATAAAAACATATAATAAAAAGTCTAAAGAGTCTGTTTTTCTTTCACATTCTTTACCAAGATGAACCCATGATGCAAAGCTCTATTACATATTGTCCTGTACAGTCTACTGGGATGCTTTTTATGTTTGATAAAATCCTGGTGATAAAGAATAAGACCACAAGAGGGCGCCATTGTAAAGAAATCAGCTGTCAGGAACCAGCATGTAGAAGGCTTTACGATCCCAATACACAAACAAATGTGGCTTCACTGTATAATTCCTACAGTTCCAGTTCCACACAGAAGAGGTCTTTGACAGGATAATAAAAAGCCACTTTCCCTTTCTCATAGAGAGAATGTTTTTGTTTATTTGACATTATTTAGTAGGATCAGCAAGTTTGTTTGCATGAAAACCTGCTTTCCCCCTTAATGCCTGATCATCAAAACGTCTTCTTCACGTTTATTTCTGCATTGAGTTGATATTTTATAAATATATTTATTTATGTTATAAATGACTTTTAACATCAAGTTTTAATGTTCCAGGCACTGAGGACTGATTCATTTTACTGCTTGAAAGATTTTAAGCCAAACACGCCCCTGCTGCTGTAAGAAGAAGATTACAGATGAAGAATCTTGATGTAAGTCGTTTTTTCACCGTTCAGTTGTGACTTCTCTGCTCTCATGAATGACTTTTTAATTACATATACAATTAATGGATGTTCTGTGTGTGTCTGCAGTCGAATCAAATGTGAGGAAAAGTTGTTCTCTAAAACACGTGTGTAGTTAAAAGAATTGAACCAAATGTGACTGAGACGTTCATTGAACTGCTTCTATACATGCAGAACTCTTACGGAGGAAAGTATCTCCTAGCAATCCCCCTTAAAGAAACAGACACAAAAGCAATTTCAATATTCTGGGAGCTCCTTAGTTTGGTCTTCATTTTTTTTAAAAAGCCAGTAACTGATTTTTATGTATTTATTGATACAGTTTAAATTTACAGGGACAATACATATTCATAACATTTCTTTAATGCGCCAGTTTAGTCATCATAGCTCATTTTAAACTGTAGACCCTGGGCAAGTGAATGATGACACATAGACAGGTATGTTTAAACAGAGTGGCAATACAGTACACTAAGCCGGGCACATGTAGAACAACAATATTCATTCAACCTGTATTTATTCTCAAGGAATCATTGAGGGCAAACCCTCATTTACAATGATGTCAAGATTACAATTTAAAAAAATAGATGACCAAAATAAACGAAGAAAAAATCCATAGACATATTTCACAATCCAGTCAATATTTTACATTCTAGTCAATATTGTACGATCCAGTTCTTAAACCTTAAAGGCTAACATCCGAGAATTTACTCATCAAAGTGTATTTGGTCTATATATAGTATGTATATACAGTATATTGTATATATGGTCAGTTAAACCTTTGTGATTCCCAAGGAAGTTGTGTTACAGCAAGTTATCGTCACAGCTTTTTTGTTGTTGTTGTTACATTTGATTAAATTGTCTACATCCCGCCATCATCGATCTAATGCTTTTACAAAACAATAGAAAAATTCTCTATAATCTGTGTCTGATTTAGGCCATTAATGTGTGTCCATTCATCTTACTCTGCCACTAGCTGAATTTAACACATTGACTTATGTGATGTCACTTGAGTCAGCTTTAGGTGGAAGAAGACTGCGAATTTGAATATCTCAAAAATGTGGTGCTTGTGTAGTTAGAACAAAATGACTTTAAAAGACCTCTATATCCTGTCGCCCATCTCTGCTGGAGGCTACGTGAGCTGACACGGATCTCAAAACGCAATCACTGGCAGTTCCTCTGCATTGTGGGTAATGTAGGCGTGGATGTTTTAATATTAAAGACTGATGCCTTGTTCAGCTTCTTACACAACCTAAATCTGACCCTTTTTGTCTTCAAATAAGCTTATCATCTACATTTATTTCTAAAAGGAACTTTTAAAAAAAAAAAAATGTGTCAGTGATCTTGAACATCAGAGCTGGATGTCAGGGTCGGAATCAAACAGATGTCTTTCTCTTACCATCAATTTCATAGAGAACAGTCCTGCAGAGACCAATCCCCCAGTAATAGAAGCATCTTTCTACCTAAAGACAAAAACTAAACAATTAGATCGAGTAATTAGAGAGCTCTTGAAGAGTGAGTGTGAAGCGACCTCTCCATCATCTCCTCCTCCCTCTCCTCTTCTGAAAAAGGATTTCTCCGCAGCATCGGACCCATCAAACTCTAACGCCCCACTTGACTCTCTCGCTCCCCTCTTCAGCCTTTCAAGTCTCACAAGTCCAGCCCCTCATCATCATCCCTCAAAGACCCTGATGAGCCCTCAGTAGCCCTCTCACACACACACTCATACATACTAAGTCCAGCACGTACAGATATTCTATGCACAGCACGCAAACATGCAATCAGCTCAGTACGCTCAAAGATTCACTTCACGCACACACACACACACACACACACACACACACACACACACACACAGGTCACAGCAGCTCCCCTGTGCCGCATCACTACCGTCTCTCTCTCTTTTTCCCTCTCTCGCCCATACACAAAGCAGATTAAAGTCCCGAGGCCATGCTGCTAATTAACTACAGTGAGCTCCAAAGGGCCGCAGCCACGAGGGCTAAGATCTCCTCTGTAGCCCACATCCCTCTGACAGGAGGCCCCCGCTCTGCAACCAGCGCACACACATGCTTTTTAATCACACATGCTTGTACAAAAGTTGATCAGCAAACAGTGAAGGCTGTGAGAATTAAACACAATTACAACTTTTCCTAAATATTAATGAGTGTAAAATCCAGCTGTGTCCGTCATTTCAGATATTTATTTATGAACAGATGGTGTAGGAGCCATAATGTGGATTTTCAGCCCTGTTGATTATTTGTTATGTTTCGATCCTTATATGGTTTTGATATCATTTCCGGTACTTTGCAGTGGGCGTGTTTTTACCTTATTCTTTAGACAGAGAGCGTGAGTGGGTTTGAATATTTTGCTGACTGTCATCGTTGATCATCATCATTTTTTGTTTAATAAATCAACAAACTTGATTTTAGAAAAAGAACGACTCACAGGCCCGATCAGTCTCTGTGCAGCTTTCTTCAAGCTTAGCCACCACAATAGAAGGAGTTTACATAAAACTGATTTTCAAAGATTTTCTTCCAGGCTTTCTCCCTTTTGAAGGACTGATCAGACTTCAGGGAAATAAACATTTTAGATTTCTTGCCTCGAATCGGATAAAAAGATCAATAGAGACAAAGTGCAATTAAGTCCCACCAATACCAGAGGGGAATCCAATTTATCCTTCTCCGGTGACATTTATTGCCTGAAGGTGCCTCTTTATCACTTTTCATCTACATCTACATTCAAAGAAGTTGGGTCGTTGTGTAAAGACTAGTCTAGTCTTTCTGAAATAAACATGGCAAGGGGTTTACGACTCCATGAAAGACTGCGCTGGCACACTTTAAAATGAATATTATTAGCATAAAATTGTAAACAATCTGGATTTTATCATCTACATTAAATAATGTTATTTAAAAGACTTAAAGAATCTGAATAGATTTTTGTATGCAGGACTCAAGGCCAAAAAACAATATTGGGTGCCGGTGATGATCAGTCCCGCAGACGGCACTGCATCAATTATAGACACAGTTCTATGGTGGAGGTCACTACACCGGCTCAGGATCACTTCAAATATTTGAACAAGGTTCATCGCTGCACTCACAGATGCTAGCTGAAACTCTACCATGCGAGGAGGAAACTAATACAAACCATATACTCCGCTGCCTTCCCTGGTTCTTGGCTCATTTCACTTTAACTTGGGCAAAGTGGAAAACTGTCCTGAAGTCTGACGAGCCACATTTTGGGTGTCTTTTTGAAAATCCTGGAAGCCTAATAAGGGGGAAAACCACCAGATGATCTCACTACATAGAAACCTCTACCATCAGTTTGTGAATGGGTGTTAACGTGTAAGCGTGACATGCGGTGTAAAAGCGCTTTGAGTAGTCAGAGGACTAGAAAAGAGTTATACAAGCTCAAGTCCATTTACCATTTACCATCATTCTCCAACAAATACAGCATCAGGCAAAGGGACACTTTTAATATTTTTTCAAAGGCTTGCAAGTTGGGACAAGTAAACAGAAACAAGAAAAGAAACTGAAACTTTTCAGGTTTTAGTTAAAAGAAGTCACACACAGACCCAATTAGTTCTGCCAATCAGATCTTGTGCTCCTTTTACCTGTAATAAGAACGAAAGCGTTGCTTTTTTTTTTTTGGAAATGTTTGCTCAACCGAACCACTCCATGTTTGAGAAAGAGCAAATGTTTCTCATGGGGTCTCCGTCTCCTTTTTCTGTATGATGTGGTATGATGCAAGAGGAGCAGTCAGTGGATCACGCTGCGACTGTTGTGCCTTTGATAGCAGAGGATGTGAAGGCTGACATTTGCACGGGCAGGGGGAGATGGAGGGGGGGGGGGGGGGTGACTGAGGAAAGTGGGTGTCAAAGAAGGTGGAGGGGGCTGAGAGAATAGTAGGAGTGTTTTGTTCTACACCTGTTTGTCAGAAAGACAAGAGAGTACATGGTTAAAAGGGGAAGAGTGAGCGGCTACATTATCGCTGTGAACATAGAATAGAATAAAATAGAATAGAATAGAATAGAATAGAATAGAATAGAATTACTTTTTTGATCCCAAACTGGGAAATTGTGGTGTTACAGCAGCAGGTTATCCAAACACACAATATGAGCAAAAAACACAATATTAGCAAATCTAAACACAACATAATATTAAATACAAAGTAAATAAGCACTAAAAATATAAAAACTAAGAATGAGAATATATACAACCAGGATTTAACTAAGCATTACTAGTCTTAAATATGAAAGATTAAAAACAACATACTTTGCTGGAGGTAGATGTAAATGTGCAAAAAAAACGAGTTGTAAATGAACATGTTAAAAGAACCCAAAGTGCTTTGAGCCACAATGATAATAATCTTAGTTATAACAATCTCT